CTTATTTCTTAACTTTCCTCTAGAAATTTGACTTCTGATCATTTTAAGTATTGTATATCTATATCAAAATGATCTGAACACAAAATGAATGTAGATCTATAACTAGGAAGAAGAAACTAAAACTCTGCCCAAGGACACACAGAAACAAACTAAGTTTAGCACCACCAAATTACAAAAATAATTAACTAAAATATGAAGTTACTAAATTATTTCTCTTTTCCTCAAGAACCAACCTCACCAAGCTGTCCTTTGATAATGTGTTTCGTGCTACTTTTTCTAGGTGTATTTTGTAACGCCCACCCTTACTGCCAAAATTGCTAGTTAGGACTCTGAGATAGCTCAAGTCCTGGAATGGTAATTAACATGATTATCACAAGAGCAGAATATTGGGGCAATACTCATGCTTTTATGCAAATCTTGACAAACTACTCTTACTATTCATAGGTGTAATGTATTTAGCATCAAATAAAAGCATTGTGATTACATAGACTAGACTTAATTAATTCCCTTCTAAAATTTCACCAAATGGGAATAAGGGATGGCAAATGTTAGATTATAGTTCTATTACTAACTTAAAGAGAAAGAAACATGACATACTAGTCACATTCCTTCAGGAAATATAGAAAACAAAGTTAAAAGATAAAAAGATTGTAAACTCTTCAAGAGAACACTCTACATACCATTCTTTTTTCTACCCTTTCAGCCACTAGTAGGATGTCAGGAACTTATAAAATGCTGTGTAAATACTTATCAACTCAACACAGACATATTGTGATATACCTAGAGGTGATATAGAAGGAAAACACTTGTGGAATATATTTTTACTTCAGTTAAATTAATAGGAAAGTATGAAAAAATTTTTATCCTGACCCTGATGGGTGGAACTATGAGCATGTAGCATAGTGTTATGTAACTGATGCTCAATAAATACTTGGTTGGATGAATTAATAGACACATTTATTAAATTTTTGAAGGCCATATGTTACAAATATGCCTTCAATGATGCCCTTTATACCACTATTAACTAACATTTTCATAGTACTTGAGAATGTACATCTGTTTTATATATACTGTAATATGAGTCTCATAACAGCTCTGTGAAGTAAGTACTACAGGTATTATCACTCTCATTTTACAGATGAAGAAACTGTGTCCCAGGAATGGTAAGTGACTTATCTATAGTCACATAGCTAAAAATTGCTAGAGAGTTGGATCCCAAATCTAGGAGTCTATCCACTAAAAGTCATCATTGGAAATATCTGCAGCCTGCTTATACCCACCTATCTGTTTTCATCTGGGCCACCCATAACTTGGAGTTTATCAAACTTGTAGTGCCCTTCCATTTATAGCCATATAATGTCACTGAAAGAATACTGATGTTAAAAAGATAACCAGAATAAGGCACGCTGTTGGGAGTTGTTCTATCAATGCCTATATCTTGCATAGTTACTCTACAAATGGACAATGAGAATGACCTAGAATTAAATAGAAGGAGGGAGGGTGGGATTGCATTTGAGAAATTCTTCACTGTTTTCAGTGATCATAGGCTGCTTTCTATTGTGAGAAATTCATGTAGCACAAAAAAAAAATAACCATAAAGAGCCTTAGTATATAAGTTAGGGCAACATTTACTACATTAGAATAACAATGTTATGATCATGAGACTATATTCTTCCCACACCAGTGGATTAATGAAAATTATGTTATAAATAACAATGGAGGGTTCTAGTATAAATTCTGCAAAATGTAGAAATTATGATTGTGATTGTTTTATGGACTGTGTGTGGGTAATGTTGAAAGAGCTGGGGGAAAAGAAAAGTTGAAATTCCAAGAATACAGAAGTAAATGAGAGATGGGAGCTAAAGGAACAGGTGGCTGTAGAAAGAAGAAAAGATGGAACCACATGGTAGAGGAATGTGTCATACGGTACAGAAATGTGGAAATAAGAAAGGGCACGTTTCCTGGCGAGATGATGGAGGCAAGAGCAACTCAGTGAGGAAGAGAAGTGGGTTTGGATATAACAGGTGGGTGGGCACCCCTGTCATACAGCAATGAAAGGTTTAAGAGATAAAAGGAAGCAAGATAATCAGCATGAAGTTCTCATCTAGTCTGGTGTGTGGTCTTCATGAGGTTGGGAAGAGTCAAGGAATGAGAAGAAAACATCACTAACTAATCACGTATAAACTTGATCATGTATCTTATAGCAAAATTACCACAGAATCACCTTCAGGAAGAATATATATTTGTAAAACTTCATTACTGTGATTTGTTTAATCTCATGGAAGGAAAAAATGGGCTAATCCATTCAACAATGAATTCACAATTACTTTTAAATACTGGTTTCTTTCAACATCTCCATCCCACTCCAATTAATAAATACTTTGAGAGTCACAAGGAACCCGCTATTTTACATGATAATATTGCCTGATAGGTCCTGACATTGATCCTGTAAAAATTAGAGGGTACAGCCAGAATGCAAAGGCTTTGCCATATGGGAGGCAGAATGAACTAGCCTTGGAGGTCTATTGGTCTAGGATCAAGTTTACCCAGCTTAGTTATACCACAACACTTAAGGGCCTACTGTAGTGAGATCAAGGAAAAAGCTGTGTGCTCTATTGGTATCCATGCAATACATCAAGGAGACTAGAGGAAGGCCTCTAGCATATTGTATGAACTCTCTGTGGAGGAATTTTCCAGAATGAGAGGGAATGGTTGAGTTCTTATCTGTATCACTGGAAGCATATTGACTTTGAAAAGACCACAAAATTATTTGATCATAATCTTTTATAATTCTGTCCTTCCCTCTGCCTTGTAGTTCCTAACCCTGTTCTTTGTCCTCCCTATGAGCTCCATTTGCTCCATTACTTAATTCTTTCCCATGCCATCACCCTTGCACTGACCATACCTTTCTTTCTACATCTTGATCCTTTAAGGAACCCATTCAACTCTACATTATCCTCTATGTTCAAGTTTTCTTGTTTCCATATCCTATCACAAATTGTGACCTGCTGAATTCTTTGGATTACCTCCTTTCTGATGTACTGAACAAAGCTAAGTAAAATTATGAAACCAGGCTAACTGTATCCACTGTGAATTTGTTATATAATTTAAACTGGATCCTCACTATCCTACTCACCATAGGAGCTATGCTAAACCTTTTCAACCAGCCTGTTTCAAATGACACCCCTTCCTCCCACATCAGCTGCATATTTTGCCTCATATTTCATCAAACAATTGAGGACAATTGCCAAAACTTCCCTTTTCTCTTCTCCTCTTCATCTCAAAGGCAGCTAGGTGGCACAGTGGACAGAATACTGGGCCTGCAGGCAGGAAGTCTCACCTCTCTGAGTTCAAATCTGGCCTAAGACATTTAGTAACTATGTGATCCTGAGCAAGTCACTTAACCCTGTTTACCTCAGTTCCTTATTTCTCAAATGAGCTGGAGAAGGAAACGGCAAACCACTCCAGTATCTCTGCCAAGAAAACCCCAAATGGGGTTACAAAGAGTTGGACATGACTGAAAAATGACTCAAAAACAACTTCGTCTCACATCGCTGAGATGTGTTCCACCACTATCTCCTTCACTCCTGTCCCAATGAAGAGGTGACCCTTCTTGCTAAGGCAAACCCCTTTATGTGCATCCTCAAACCCCACCTCCCCCCTGTCTTTTCCAGCAGATTGCCCCTTTCTACTATGCCCTCTATCTCACTAATCTTCCGTTTTCCCCTGCTTCCTTGCAGGCTCCTAATATGTCCATATTTCCCCATCCTTAAATAAACTTCGCTTGATCCCCACTATATATCACCCTGTATCTCTCCTGCTTTTTAGGGCTTTCTCCTTGAGAAAGTCATCTGTAATTGGTGCTTCCACTTCTTCTTCTCTCACACTATTCTAACCCTTTTTCAGTCTGGCTTTGAAACTCATCGTTCAACCGAAAGTACTGTCTCCAAAGTAACCTCTTCCTTATAGTATACACAATACCGCTCTGGTGCAGGTCCTCAACTCCTAGACTTTTGCAAAAGCCTTCAGCTTGGTCTCCCGCCCACTCTAACCCACCCTCCACTCAGACGCCAAAGTGATCTTCCTTATGTTAGGACTAAGAATGTTATTACACACACTCAATGAAGCCAGCCCCGCCCCCCCCCCCCATTATCTCCAGGATTAAATATAAAATCCTGTTTAGTTTTAAAGTCCTTTACAACCTGCGTCCTTCCTACCTTTCCAGTCCTCGTACACTTTAGTCCCCTCCACATACTCATCCAGCAGCATTGGCCTGCTTGTTATTCTTTCACACTCTATCTCCAGTTTCAGTGTCTAGCATGCTCTCCCTCCTCACCTACATTTCCTGCTATCCCTTTTTTCCAGCAAGATTCAATTTAAATCCCATCATAATTAAGTGGCCTTTCTCGTTCCCGCCTCCTCTGATAATGCCTTTCCTCTGACATTACCTTCAAATCTGCACTGTATGTATCTGGTATATATGTAGTTGTTTGCATGCTGTCTCCTCTATTAGAATGTGAACTCCTTTTGAGTAGAGACTTTTTTTTGTTTGTTTGTTTTTGTTTTTTGTTTTTTGTTTTTGCTTTTTGGTGAGGCGATTGGATGACTTGCCCAGGATCACACAGCTAGTAAGTGTTAAGTGTCTGAGGCTGGATTTGAACTCAGGTCCTCCTGACTCCAAGGCCAGAGCTCTATTCACTGCGCCACCTAGCTGCCCCAAGACTGTACTTTCTTTGTTTGGCATATTGGAAGCACATAATAAATGTTTGTTGGTTAAGAGAATGAAGTATCAAAGGACAAATACATAACATAGGACTAGTAATATAAAAATACTTCTAATTCAACAGTATTCAATTTGGTAACAAAAAAGCTCATTTCCATGCAGTAGCTAATTCCAATTGATCATCATTATTAAAGAATAAGTGATTAGGAAATAAATCATTATCCCCACTGCTGTTCATATCCATAATGAAAAATATCTTAGATGCAGTCAAACTTACCAAAGAACTCTGGTAGACAGTCACAGATGTAGCCCCCTACCTTGTTGCGACATTTAGCCCCATTTTGGCAGGGTTCTGAAGCACACTCATCCACTTCCCGTTCACAATATCTTCCTTGAAATCCAGGGACACAGTAACAGGAATAACCATTGATTCCATCCTGGCACACAGCTCCGTTGCGACAAGGGTTGGAACCACACTCATTGAAATCAGTCTCACAGTGCTTTCCAATAAACCCATCAGCACAGTCACAGAAAGGGCCAGAGGTGCCGTGGTGGCAAATGCCTCCATGTCTACAAAAGCCTGAGACACAGGACGTAAGAGTGATTTCACAGGTTTTCCCACCATATCCTGGTGGACAGCGGCAGAAAAAGCCAGGTTCTTCATCCAGATCAAAACAAAATCCATTTCGTTTACAGGGCTTGGAGGAACACGAAACCAACTTTATATCACAACTTTCCCCCACATTTTCAGTGGTGTTGGAACAGTGGCAAGTATTGTCCTTACTAATATTATCACATGTAGAATTGTTCGGACAGGGATTTGAGAGGCATACAGTGTCATTTCCAATGCAAAAGGATTCTGTAAGGAAAAAAAAACAACACAAAATGATAGGCAAACATTTATATACCTTGAGAAAAGCATAAAATAAAAAACGTAAAGACAATTATTTTTCTCTTAAAAACATGTAGCCAATAACTCCTTTAGATAAATGAAATCCATAAACTAAATAAATTTAATAAATCAAAACTTCCTATTAGAAACTATTCTGAGTAATGCTTCCTTACCTTTCTACTCCATTTCTTTGATATCAGAGCAACTGAACCATGAAATAATCAAACTATTTGGGTATATAGGATGGGTTTAATGGTAGTATAACCCTAAGATTTTGAAATTCACGTTCTTTTGTGGAGGATCAAGGTGGGACAGTGAGTTTAAATTGGAGCAGAAACAGAACTTGATGTTCCCAAAAGGTATTTCTTTATTCAGAACTGATCTGGTCACTTCTGACTTGGTTGTCTAATTAAAAGTGAAATTGATATTTAATTCACTAATATGGAATTTGACTAATATTCAAGGGTCATCACTTTTTAATGCTACCCAAATATGAGTCATTATTATTATGGAGAAGCAATGTGTCATAGTGTTCCATAGTGTATAGAGAACTGGATCTGCAATCAAGAAGACGTGGGTTCAGATTCTGCCCCAGACACTTTCTAGCTGTATAACCCTAGGCAAGTTTTTCTCCACCCCATTCCGTCCTCTACTCAGCTGGAAAATCAATCTTCCAAAAGACATATCTGATCATGTCACGTATCCCCACCTCTTTCAATATACTCCAGTGGCTTACTATTATCTCTAGGATAAAATATAAAATCTTCCATTTGGCATTCAAAGCCCTTCACAACTAGGTCTCCTCCTACTTTCATTCCAGGGACACTGGCCTCCTTGCTGTTCCTTATCCAAGATACTCCATCTCCAGATTCCAGGCATTTTCACTGGTTGTTGCGCATGACTAGAATATTCCTCTTCCTCATCTCTGCCTCTTGACTTTCCTGACTTTCTTCAAGTCCCAGTTAAAAACACCATCTTGTATGAGAAGACTTTCCTGATCTTCCTTAATGCCAGTGCCTTCTCTACATCGATCATCTCCAATTTATCCTATATTTATCATTTTTGTGCATCATTATTTTCATGGTGTCTTTCTTGTAGACTAGGTGTGTGGAACCCGTGGCCTCGAGGCCACTTGTGGCCCTCTAGGTCCTCAAGTGCAGTCCTTTGACTGAATCCAAACTTCACTGAGCAAATCCCCTTAATAAAAGGATTTATTGGGGCAGCTAGGTGGTACAATGGATAGAGTACCAGCCCTGGATTCAGGAGGACCTGAGTTCAAATCTGACCTCAGACACATAACACTTACTGGCTGTGTGACTCTGGATAAGTCACTTAACCCCATTGCCTAGTCAAAAATAAATAAATAAAAATAAAAGGATTTGTTCTGTAAAACTTGAGACTTAATCAAAAGGCCACACCCAAGGACCTAGAAGGCCACATGTGGCCTCAAGGCTGTAGGTTCTCTACCCCTGTCTTAGACTGTGAGCTCCTTCTTTTACCTTTCTTTGTATCTCCAGAGGTTAGCACAGTGCCTGGTACATACCAGTAGTAAGCATAGTAGATGCTTAATGTTTATTAACTGACTGTCTTAAATGATCTGTTTAAATTTCTTCATCTGTAAAAAGTGGGTGTTGGACGTGATGGTCCCTTTCAGCTCTAAATCTATAATCATATCAATTATGGGTAAATCATTCAAGTTTTCAGTATTTTCAGGAAACTGCTGAAGACTACAAGCTGCAGACCATAGGCATCTGTATAATTATTATTATCATTACTATCATCATCATCATCATCATCATTAATCCTACTCTAAACAAACAAACAAAATCCCGATTGGCATTTGGTTCTGTTTTTAGACTGAAAGGAAAGTATTTTTTACTGATATGATGTCAGTATGATTTTCTGAAAGTTCTCTATCTAATCACACTAAGATTTTTGAGAACTGTAGCATTCCCAACATAAGGTTCCAGCAATGAGTTTTACTCAGTGGGGAAAAATAATCCTTGACTTGTAATTTGGCAGAGAGGCAGAAGACAAAGTTCAAGATATGGATTCAGAAATACCAGGGTTTGAATTCTACCCAATAAGAGCTGTGAACCTCAGGTAAGTCCCTTAACCTCTCTAAACCTCATCTATATAAACTATTTCCATCTGTAAAATGAGAATAGTAATAATACCCACTACATAAGGCTGTTGTTCAGTTCAGTAAATCTTTAAGTGCCATATCTGAGTTATTATGTGACCGATTATATCGATACCTTTTAATAACTTCTCACCATGGATTAACCACTAAAAAAAGAAAAAGAAAAAAAGGAACATTTATAATTGCAAACAAAGAAAGGAGAAATAACAAAGGGTAAAAATACTGTCTAAAATATTTATATAAATATTTAAAGTACCAGTGTTCCAGTTGAAAATACATAGCTAAATATATCAGAGTAATGCTGTTTTCCATGGCAAATTGTAAGGTTCTGTTTGTTTTTCTTCCAAATTCAATCAGGTGTTATTTGAAAAAATACTGCAGAATCTTCTGTATGTTTGAACTGAGAGCTTCCCCCAATTTTTTTATGGAAGATGGTTAGAAACCCCAAAACTGCTTTCCAAACAAGTAGAAAACCAATAGGTCTATAAAGAAAATTTCCATTAAGCAATAAGGAAGAAAATAATGTGCATTTGAATTGTATAATGGAAAGGAAAATGGATATTTTCCCCCAAGAAACTGCATCTATACTACCAAAATTTAAAAAAAAATGAATAATTTTAATCTAACCAAAAGCATGACCTCTAAAGAAATATGATTTTCTTCTTTAACTCTTAATGGTAATTCTTTGGTCCGAATTACCCAGATAACTGGACTTAACTTGCCACAAATATCCCTTTGCCTGTGGAAAAAAAAAACTGTCAGACTGAGTCTTAACATGTATTAACTAAAATCTTTAAAATGGAGCAATTTGGCAAGGGAAGATTTGATGCCTCTGTAATGAAGATGAAACCTTAGGAGAGTAGCAGCATGGTTTCTACCATCCTGTCAATGGGCAGCAAAAGGGGATCAAAAGAAAAACTGTAATCTGAAATGTAGAAATGTTTATTAAGCACCTATTATGGCAAAGTGCTGTGACATGTGATAGAAATCAAAAGATACCAACTGAACCATTCCTTCTCTCATTGAGCTTCCATTCTACTGGAAGGATGCAATATATACGCAGATAATAGCACAGGAAAAACTGAGGAAGGGGAGAACATTAACAAGGGTTGGGGTTGTATCAGGGAAGTCTTCATAGAGGAGGTGACATTTGAACTGAGCTTTGAAAGAAGATATGAATTCTGAGAGGTGGAGATGGGGGTAGGGAGAAATCGTATTTCTAGGTATGGGAATTGGACTGGGTGAATATGAAATATCAAGTCCAGGGTCCAGCCATCTCCACTGTGTATATAAATATGGCCTTAGAGAAAACTGAACAAACAATATCTAAAAATTTAAAGGAAAGAGGTAAGTTTAAATGAGCATGTGTCCAAAAGCTTAAATATCCTAATGATTATATTCGGGGGTATTCTGGAGCCAGCTCATACCAGCTTGGGAGAAGCTATTGTTAAATTTTCAGTGTCAGTATTTACACCTCTAAAATATGCAAAGCTACAAATCTGGGCTTGATTTATTGTTTTGTTGATTGTCTAGACTTAAAGTCACAGAGAAAATGTTAATAATGCAGATTAAATTTAAAAGTGAGTCATGAGTTCTTGGTGGGGAGAGGCAGAAGAGCTGGTTGTTGAACCTTTACTAGCCCCCTCCAATTATATCCAATAAAAGATCTTCTATGGCACTGGACACAAGAAGATTAGTGAAGTGGAATAGGGCAGCCATTATTCTTTCAACATCTCTTTTTAATCTACTCCCATATTTTCTGAACCTATTTTCAGTTTTAAACTATGATAGTAATATTCTCCAGGAAAACAATAACATGATCCAAACTCATACATCTTTAAGAACATACACATGAAACGTTTCCAGATATAAACAACAATCAAGGTACTTTGATAATAGCTGACATTTATATAGCACTTTAATATCTGCACTGTTTTACATATTATTTCATTTGCATCTCACAAGAGTTCTGAGTTATGTATTATCCCCATTTAACAGAAGAAAAAAAGAGACTTGTAGAGGTTAAGTGACTTATTCATAATGACACAGTTTATAAGTATTAAAAGTAGATCTTCCTCCAGGTTAGATGTCAAGTCTAACCTGTTTCCATTAATTTGAGCTATGCCATCTTCTCTTATAAGTGTTTGTTTGTAGTAGATTCAAAAAGTCTGTGTTCACATTCCAGTTTTCATTAATCAATAAACAAGCATTTATTTAGTGTCTTTATGCCAAGCACTGTGATAAGTGAGATTTTTTGCACTGGACATGCACAGATTAAAAAGAAAGACTCGATCCCTACCCTCAAGAAATTTTTATTCTATTTAAGGAGTTAATATGTATACATATAACTATATACCCTGACTACCTGTATGGCTTTTGGCAATCCACCAAACCTGTCACAGCTTCAGGTTTCTCATCTGTACAATGAGGTTGGATTTATTCCTACCAATGGATTACTATTCCTTTCAATTCTAAATGCTACAATTGAAATCAAATAAAATATTTGGATAATTTCTCATTTGGCTGTTCAATTACCTCAGTCAGTGAAAAACTGTCCTGTGCATGCAAATTCAACATATCGTTGTAATTCTGTTATTTTTATTCCCTCCTTCTAGGAGTAGAAATATGCCTTGGGTACAGACTTGGCCTTGGAGTCACTAAGACCTGGATTCAAGCCTTGCCTCTCTCTCTGACACATACTAACTGTGTGGGCATATATAAGTTCTAGGAAGCTCTCTGAGAATATAATTTAGTCAGTCAGTCAACAAGCTTTAATTTATTAAGTACTGACTATGTGTCTGGTATTGTGCTATGCACTGGAGATACAACAAAAGGAAAATAACATGGTCTTTACCCTCAAGGAGCTCACATTAGAATGGGGGGGGCAATTTGCAAACAACTAATTATAGATGAGTGACTGATCTGCATTGGTGGATCGAATTTCCACACTGGAAATTCTCCACACAGATGAAATCACAGGTCCCAAATGCAGCTCCTTCCTCCAAATCAAAGAAATCTAAAGGCAACTGATGATAACTGTTGTTCATTAAAGTAATTCAGAAAAATCAAAGGACCACAATCAAAAATGTTTGTTGAATGAATACGGTAAGTGGAGACTTTTGCCCTTGTGATATCGGATACTGTGACAAGACATTCCTTTTATGTGAATTGTAAGAAATAATTAAAAATCTTCTCTCCCTTATGTTTATTTTTAGGAAAGGTTGCATCTCTTTCCTGGGATGGTACCTGCTGGTATATTGAGGATGGATTATTGGGTATGCATAAGATAGAAAAGGCCTACTTCAGAACAACGTCCAGAGTAAGCTTATAATCATCAGCTATGGAACCAGTTTGTCAGCCAGAGAAAGACTTTGTGTGCCTACCACATACAGAGTAACCAACTGTCAATAGATTTCAAAGAGAAGTGATATGCAAGTTAATTTACCTATGTTCTAGATATCTTAGCTACCTTTCATTACACTCTTAATTGCTACTGAGTCCTCTGGCCTGTCAGTAGGCCATATAGTCTGAATTATTTTTTCTACTTTTGGTTGTGACCTGGAGAGCCATACACACTGTTTTGCTCAGTCCCCCTTGTGGACAAAAGTGTGTATTTTCAAGACATTTGGTTGGGATTAGGGGGGAGAAAGATACTTGGGTTAACTGGCCACAGACTTTCATGGGCCTGAAAATGAACTAACCTGATAGCCATAGACAATGCGATTTTAATAATAATAAAAAAATGAACCACCATATTATTCCCTGGGGTTATAGGGTTCATTGTATAAAAACTCTCCAGGTAGTTATTATTAATGCTGTTAATGGTAAAAAAAAAAAAAAAAAAAAAAAGAAAAAGAAAAAATTAAGTGCTTTTTGACTATGATTGCCAAAAATACAATTCCAGGCCTTGAAAAAGTGTTTAAAAATTATAACTGGAATTCATTTAGCGGGAAAATCACAATGGAGTGTTTTAGCTCAAGCTCTCACTTGTGAATCACATACCTAGTTGTAAATTTTAATAGGATGTGAAAGTCTATTTGAGATTTTCAGACAAATTTAGTTTTCTGCCGAATTACTTGCTTGCAGTAAAGTTTGCCATCTACTGGTCATTTTAAATATTTCTAGAGGATAAAAATAAAAGAATACAGTAATACATAACATAGTACTGCTTAAATTTGACAATGTAGTTTCTTAATTAAAAAATGGGCTTATCTGTTTAATTTGGTATGAAGATTAGTTGGTAGATATAATAGACCCAAGAGGCACAAGTTGAAGTCAGTAACTAATGTAAAATGTCTTTATTTTTATATTAAATAGTTTTCAACTAAGTAAGACAAAAAGGGAATAGGAAAGAAAGCCAATTTAGGGATTCAGGTTATGTATAACAAGTTTTAAGAGGATACTTAATTGGTATCTTCAGACATCATCATAAATAACATCTTTACACACTCAATACTTCACCCATTTCTAAAAATCATTTTAACAATTTAGTACCAAATAAGTATTTATTGGTTGGATAATTGCCAAAGATAAGAATGATTTACCCTCAAATATATTCAGACCTCTTGCCTACCCCTTTTTTTGTGTAAAACAACTAGTCAGTGAAACTTTGAAGCTCATAAAGACCAATCCACTATGTTATGTAGTCTCTTTCTTGGATTTACTGCCACCCTTATTCTCCTCATATATTTCTATTGCCATCTGAAAGACCAACCAACCTTGCTGATCTCTAGATCCTATGCGAGGTAGGATCAACACTAAAGTTTGAAATAAACAAAAAAGTCAGTCCCTTAACCAGCATAAGGGAAAAACAAAACACTGAAACGACATTATTTACTTGCTCACTAAAAAGGAATTTTTAAAATATTACTTATTTCTAACCAACACTTTTCAATTGTCTTATTGTTTTTTTGAAGGGGTGCTGTCTTGACTCAAGTGTGCATTGGATTTAAATGAGGTAGAGTTGTACAGAGTTGTCAGCCTCACTCTCTCTTCCAGAGTCATCTAAGTCCAGTAGCAAGACAGGACCACTGGCAATGGCTTGGGATGCAGTGTGTTGACTTTGGTGTCTTTGATGTCTGACCAAGTTCTAAAAGCTCCACAGCACCTGCTTCAGCCACTTTCATGAATGTTAGGACAAATTGTTCTTATCTGCTCATTCCACTGGAGGAAGTCTTAAGATGCTTGGGGTAGACATCTTCCTAACTCACCAATGGGTTTGGAACCTTTTGTCTACACTCAACCTGGTTTAATCTGTCTGCTAAGACAGTTTAACTGGGGTGTGGTTACTGTGCATGCTACAGCTCTTGGAGCCACATGTAAGAGTTGGGTGACAGGTGTATACCAAAGGTGGATGAGCAGCCCTGAAAAGGCTCAGCAAGCCCTCAAACCAGAAGTGCTAGTCCTCCCTTAATACCTCATATGCTCCAATTGTCTTATTGGTACAGAGTCAATTGGTATGATGGATCTGGGCTCTGTGTTTCCCCAGACCTCATCCTATGGTTGCTGAACTATAATTTATGGAGGCATCCCTGGGTAAAGAACAAGGAGGTGGATTTGTCAATTAATGCTAAGAAATTATTACTATAAAAGGCAAAGGGATTGGATTTCCTTATAGCTAAACATACCTTTAGGCTGCACTTGCCCAGCTTGTTTTCTCTGTTAAGGCTCCTCATGAGTTAGAATTGGACTCATATTTTTCTTAGTTGTGGAACAAATCCACTCTGCATCTTCATTTCTTTAACTGTAAAATGGGGAGAAAATATATGTCCCATCTACCTACTGTTGTGAGGAAAGCACTTTCTTAAATTCAATGTACCAAATAAAATTTCCCCTTCATGAAAATTCTCCTCTAATGCCTCACCACAATGTGAAATTTTAAACCTGAGATCTCAAAGGCTGGGCAAGAAGAGGTAAAGTTCTGACAAGTTTTACCAACATTAAGAGGCTTAGAGTGTGATCTCAGTGACAAACCATATCTTTTAAGTACTGAATAGCTAAGAGTAGAGAGGTTTATCTGGCTCAAAACTAGGAAATTCTAAACTTGGCCAAAAATCTTGAAGATATTTCTTAAAAGATGTAGATAGCCAGAAGAAAACCCCTGGCCCTGAATGCCAACTCCAGTAATATCTTTTGACAATAATCTTGAGAGTATACCCTTTCACATGTGAACCAAAGGCTACTATTCCTGGCTCCAGGTTTAGATAATTTTTTTTCCCAATGAGATATGTTGAGGTAGCTTTGAGTTAAAATATCCTCCTAACACCAGAACTATCCTTTACTACTCCCCCTGGAATCTTCTGGCCCCTCTACCTGCTTTGGAGATTCTGAGCCTTGAGTCATGGTGCTTGACTATGAAAAAATACAGTTTTTGATTAGTAGACTCTCCCCTTACCTCATTAATTATGGATTTCTGGGAATTTTTGCCAGCTGTCTGCAACAAAGTAATAAATTCTTAGCCATAGTAACCCACTAAAGGACCAACCAACATATATTATTTAACATATAACACCATCTTAAATTCTGTGCAGCCTCCCTCTAACTTAGGGACAACACCAGAAGTGTAACAGAATGGGAGATAGATGATACTAAGAATTGCAATATATCTGACCAGGTACAAACATCTTATTTTTATTGTGAGATCTTTGTCTGAAGTCAACAAGTTGCTACCCTCCTGAGATAAACCAAATCCATGTTGATATTCTCACCATAAATTAAACTAGAAGACATAAGGAAATCGAAACTAAGTGAAAGATAATTAACAAGTGCTTTCTAAAAAGACAAATAAAGGCCTTGCTGAAGTTGCTTTCATCAGGAATGCAAAACAAACAAGAAATTATTTCATGGGGCACTCAATCATATTGCTTTATAAAATTCATGATGCTCATAAGCAAACAGATCTCTATAAAGGTAATTACATCTTTAGGTGTCAACATACACTGCAAAAGATGAAAATGTAGAGAAATTTTACAAAGATCTTGACAATATTATTGAAGTCAGGTCAATATACGTATTTTGATATCATTTAAATTTGACGATAGGAACAGGAGTATGTGCTGGAATGTGTGGTTTGATATTAAGAAATGAAAAAGACCAAATGTTTGTGGATTATTTGTAAGTCTCATCTCTGGATATCATGAAATTTTCTTCAAGAAAACAGAAAGTACCAGATGTGGGAAGCCCTAAGCAACATCACACACACACACACACACACACACACACACAAAATCAAAATGACTATCTTAATAGATAGGAAAAAATGACTGAACACTGCCTTGGGAGTTATTCCATCATCAACTATTTGTAATCAGATTATTAATGGGTTAGAGCAAAGATCAAAATCAGCAACAGATTAGAATAAGAGATAAAGATAAGAAGGTACTATTTTACTTAAAACAGCTGCAACTCAACTTACCTAAACAAGATGTTGATGCTGAAAAATAGAAAGTGGATGAAGTAAGCATGTTGTCTCTGATTACTATGATTTTAAAAGAAAAGTTTAACCAATGAAAAATGGCTGCTACAAACAGAAAGCCAAAAATCCCCCAAAACCAGGAATTTCTATATCCAACAAATATTACAGTCCTTTGCCAAAGGAAGAAATATGGCAACAAAGAACAATATTGATTTAGAATATAAACCTTGTTGGTAAAACAGTATAGAAGAGAATGGCAAAAGATTATGAATATGTCATTTTGCAAAAACACAGAAAAGTAATTTTGGGGAAAAATCTGTAAAAAAGCTCAGCAAGGGATTCAATCAAGCCTTTTTTATACTAATAGTATTTATAAGTAAAATCATAAGAACAACAAAGAAGTAAAATATTGCATTTTTCTGTTTCAACCAAATTCATTTCCATTGTCACTTACTGTTATCAAGTGACAGTGGATTGGTTGCTGACCTTATCTGTTATGTGAAGAAATGGCAATGGAACTAATAAAGATTAAGTCAAAATGAGCATCTAGATATGACTTAATAAAAACAGAAGAAATCTAATGTAGGATAGATATAATTTTTAAGGCACTCAAAGATTGATTTTCAAGATATTTCAAAGAGAGGATTCCTAGAGAATGGAACATATATACATCACATCAAAAAAGGTAACCAAGACATACTCTATCTATACACACTTTTTTTTCATCTCTACAAAAGCTTTAGGGAAATGATGTATAAACATATTGAAAGTATCCTTGATGAAAGCATGAGAAGGGAATAGGCAAGCTTTTGTAGATGATTTCTACAGCAAACCACATCTTCAAAGTTACAGAGGAGAAGATCAATGAGTTTAAAAGTTGCATAAACAAAAAATCTATTTATCCATTGGGAAACCACTGGTAAGCTTTGAGAGTGAAGTTTTAGTAGAGAATAAGATCAAAAGCCAGACTGCAAAGGATTGAGAAGTGAGTAGATGGTGAAGAAGTAGAAACTTTTTTTCTAAGAGTTTAGCAGTAGAAAGAAGGAGAGATATAGAATGATAGCTTGAAGGAATATCAGGATGAAGGGAAGGAGTGTCTGTCAGGAAAGACATTCATGACTCAGCTCAGCAGTAGGTGAGACCTTTCGAAACTTACAAGGTTAGAGCCTCCAGATAAATCTCCTTCATAAAAGAACCAACAATACAAAAGAACCAAGGCTTATTTTTGCAAGGCCACAAATTAGCCTTAGAAGGAAGAAGGCTAAAGACCTTAGCATTGTCTCTCAACAGATACTGTCTGTAAAGGAATCAAACCATAAAAGAGATGGACCAAATCAGAGCAGTTGATGTGAATGTCTGAGGTTGACTAAATTGAGGTTCCTTTTGGAGGCACCCATCATTCAGGTTCCCAACTACAGCCAAAGGAGTTGATATTCATCATGTAGTTAGCAGGCTGGAACCAGTTATAGGCTATCCACAAGCTCTAGGACCTCTCTAAAGTACTTCCATTGCATGTCATCACTGGGAAGCAGACTTCTAGCCACCTTCCATATTGGGAAAAACCAACAGTGGTGCTTTGTGCATGTGCCTTAATGTTACAGTGTCTTTGGGGTCCCCTACAGATGGTGAGGTCTTCCTGTTTGTAGATAACATTGTGCTGATTGCATCACAGCAACAACAGCATTTCTGGGTTCTTGGGTACCACAACTGCAATCTTAGCTGTGCCCTTGCTCAGACCCAAGTGCTAGATTTTCCTATTCTTCCCATATACCTCCTTTCACTACCCATCACTTCCCCATGAGGCAATTACTCAGCATTATAGGTATACTCTTATGGGAAATGGAGTTCTAGGAACTTCTCAAAATTCGTGGTTACTTTCTAGTCCTAAGCATTATGAGAAACATACTATTGCCTACCAAAATCACACCTGCTACATCATAGACTCAACAATAGGCCTTCATTCTTCATTTGTTTTTCCTGTGTATATTGTTGGACTGATTTCTTTTGAGTGATCATGGATCTCAGAAAGAGTCTAATTGTATTCTGGGACATGACACTATCAGCACAATACCATCTGCAACACAAAAGTCTCTGGTAGACCTCATCATCCACAGAGAACTCCTTAGTCAATGTGAACTCTGCACAGGTTATCCCTCTATGTGAGTGGCAAGCCCATTTGGCAAACAGGTCTTTCTGTTTTATTCTTTACTTGATATTGATAATCACAGAGGTGCTGAAGAGTTGCTGTTCTGGTTATAATGACTAAGGAATCATTTATGAGAGAAACCCGGGTCAAAGAAAGCCTTTCAGAATGCATTTTGCTCTACCAAGTCATATTTTTTAAATGAACAATAAACAAAACCACCGTGAGATTTACATAATCTGTACCTTTCAGTCAATTGCATAATGATATGGAGTTGTCTGCTATAAAA